ATAGAGATTAAAATATAGATGAAATGAACATATGTCGAAATATTCTGTAATGGATAAAAACTTTCTGTGGGGTGCCTTCACATTTTAACATAATTCCAGATATGCAAAATCTTAAAGTTCTCTATTTATATAATAATAATAGTAGAAATGTGGATATTTATTGGACACTGCACCGAAAGGCCTGTCTCCTGACCATTCGTCATAAATGGATGTCTGGCATCAGACGTAGCCAACTGACCAGCTTCATCCGCTGCAGTCCGGCATTAAGGTCTAATTACAAAAGATAGAACACATTGACTTACGCCAGACAACCAGCATCTATCTATCTATCTATCTATCTATCTATCTATCTATGTTGATCTTCATATGACTTTCTTCACATATCTATCTATCTATCTATCTATCTATCTATCTATCTACATTGATCTCCCTGACTTTCTTCATATATATATTTTCCTATCTATCTATCTATCTATCTATCTATCTATCTATCTATCTATCTATCTATCTATCTAAGTCTATTCCTGTCTTTCTCAGTCTATTCCTATCTATCTATCTATCTATCTATCTATCTATCTATCTATCTATCTCAGTCTATTCCTGTCGTTCTCAGTCTATTCCTATCTATCTATCTATCTATCTATCTATCTATCTATCTATCTATCTATCTATTTCAGTCTATTCCTGTCTTTCTCAGTCTATTCCCATCTATCTATCTATCTATCTATCTATCTATCTATCTCAGTCTATTCCTGTCGTTCTCAGTCTATTCCTATCTATCTATCTATCTATCTATCTATCTATCTATCTATCTATCTATCTATCTATCTATCTCAGTCTATTCCTGTCGTTCTCAGTCTATTCCTGTCGTTCTCAGTCTATTCCTATCTATCTATCTATCTATCTATCTATCTATCTATCTATCTATCTATCTATCTATCTGTGTGCAATAAATGTTAACGAAGCTAGTCTGGTTGACCACCAATACAACTCCCTTCTTCATTTGGTAACCAAATAAAAATTCGACACTAAATCGTCCAAACAGTGGATAACATTTAAAATCAATTTTGTAACTAAGGCGATATCCTGAAGAAGAAACGAGAAAATGTATTGACATTAAGATATAGAATGATACATCTCCACAGGATATCAAACTTTATTCTAACTTATCTTTTTAATGGCACAAAGAAATAGCTAGAATTAAGAAGATTGTGTAGCCCTAACATATGGGACGATGAAGGATCTACTTTGGAAAACCGAGCCGTTAGGAGGATTTGAACACCACTTGACGGTATAAATGTGCTTCTCTTTCTCTCTCGCTATCTCTCTCACACACGATCTCCCATATCAATTTTTCTTTCTTTCTTTCTTTTTATATATATATATATATATATATATATATATATATATATATATATATATATATATATATATATATATATATATATATATAATTAGTATGAAAAAGTTTTTCACTTAACTTGACAGTGTTTCCTTCATTGTAGTCACCTCTCTCTCCGATATTGAGCACTCTAAACACAAAGCCTGCTTGCCTTAAACGCCTTCCTATCAGCAAACCAAAAACCAGCAATTTTGTTTTTAAAAATAGTTTCTCAAATTAACACTATATATATATATATATATATATATATATATATATATATGTATGTATGTACTGGTTTCATCAAATTTTAGTTTTTGTCGGGATGGAAATGTCCAAAATTAGAATTTCTTTCAAAAAATAATTGGTGTCTCTCTTTGATATTTCACCGGTGTTTATTTGAATAGAAAAATAGAAAACGTTTTTTTTTTTCATTTTCAAATTTGACATTTATTTATGGAAAAAATCCAGACGGAAGAAAAAATTGTTAATTTTTTTAAGCAAATTTATTTTATATTTTGCAGAATATATAAATTACTTATTAATTTCCTTCTCTTTCTGTCTTTCTAAATATTTTCTTCTCTGTCTCTCTGTCTGTTTTCTTTCTTTTTTATTCTTTCTTTCTTTCAAAGTAATTCTTTATGTATCTATTGTTTCTTTCTATCTATCTATCTATCTATCTATCTATCTATCTATCTATCTATCTATCAGTCTGTTTCTATCTATCTATCTATCTATCTATCTATCTATCTATCTATCTATCTATCTATGTAGGTAGCTAAATAGTTCGTTATCTATCGCTCTATCTATTCTTTCTTTCTTTATTCATTCTATCTGATTACTTGCCTTCTAAATATTTCGCTATCTTTCTTTCTTTCTTTCTTTCTTTTTGGATGTGTTTGTCTGTCTCGTGTGGTTTATCTGCTAAGAGCAACGGAATTATCTTTACCAAGAAGTGAAGGTGTGGAGGTGGGTCTGGCGCCCAAAAACAAATGTTTCGTGGGGGGACGGAACGACTCGGCCTGGAAAAATCAGTCAATCTTGGTGAGGGAAAACATCGGATTTTAAATCCCCTCTGCCTTGCGGCCATACCAATTTATGAGGAAGTCTTCGCGTCCATGCTTTAAAACAAATTCGGAGCTGAAATCTCGAAGACAGTCCGACGTTTTCTTCAACATCATTTTGACAACTCGTGCGACGACACTGTGCCTAAGCTGCATTGGCAGTCGCCCCCCACCCACCTGGCCACCAGACTCGCTGGTGTGGACAAAAGAAAACTGCACATGTAAGAGTCTTCCGTACAATCTTCAGTCAGGGCATAGAGGATAAAATGGGATAAGAAAACATATCTATCTATCTATCTATCTATCTATCTATCTATCTATCTATCTATGTCTGTTTCTTTCTCTCTCTCTCTTTTTCTTTCTTTTTTTCTTTCTTTCTTTCTATCTATCTATCTCAGTCTATATCTATCTATCTATCTCAGTATCTATCTATCTATCTATCTATCTATCTATCTATCTATCTCAGTATCTATCTATCTATCTATCTATCTATCTATCTCAGTCTTTTCTTATCTATCTATCTATCTATCTATCTATCTATCTATCTATCTATCTATCTAGTATACAAATAAAGTTTAGAAACTTATATTACCGATATCTGTTAATAATCTGAATTATTTAATTAAATCCTATCTATCATATGATATTAATTATATGTTATCTAGAGTGAGATGAAATATCTGCAAAACTTGAAGACAGGAAGATAAGTTTTTGAAATTTATTTTATTTGTTTACTCTTAATGCTCGATTTCTTAATATTAATCTCTTTAATTAATTTTTTCCCTTCTCCAACTTTGGGATAATTGTTTTTTTTTATCATTTCGCCCCAAGCAAAGCGATAACAACCCTAAGACGCAAGGAGTTACTGGCTGTGAATGTATATATATGAAAAATTAAAGAGGGTGGCGTATAAAAGAACTGAAATGTAGGAGACAAAAATAGCGACCGGAATTGGGTATAAAATTTTTTGAACATTAAAGAATCGAGGAATGCAAGCGAAGAAACTTTTATTAAGGACCTTGCGTTTATATTCATCCAATTCAACTGTAAAATGTTGAAACCTAGCTGCCAATCTAGTACTGCGCTTAAATTCGTATAGTCTAGGTACCAAAGAGGAAAGTTCATCAGAATAGTTACCATAAAAATGCTTATAGTAAAGACACAAGGAGGCGTTACGATGGTGCCAAGTGACTGAAGGCGAGGTGCCAGATTAAATCCGATAATATTGCACATTTTTCTTGTCAAGAATCTCTGAATACATAACAGAAGTGTCAGACTAATTGTGGCATCATTATTCAATGCATGGACGAATAGTAGACTTATAAATGTGTACGATAGATTCTGATAAGTATGATTGTCTAGCACGACACAGTGAACCAACTTTCCTAGCATCAGAGCAAGCAATAGGTTAGCATTAGCCATGCGGATGGAAGGAAAAATGTTTCCTAATACGATTAAAACTGCGAGTTTTTGTTTTGGTGGCGTTAAAATTAACAAGACATTTTCGCCCTTGGTAGCAACAGAATTAGGATCATTTTTGAGGTCAGCTGTTGTTTTAACCTTATCGAACCAATCTAAGATTGTTGTCACCAGCCGAGAACTGATGAAGTCGGGAAGGTCTTTGATGATAATTAAGAATAAAGTAGATGCATAGATAGAGACACGATGTACTTCCGCATTAATGTGAAAACCATCTAAAGGAGCGGCTGTTTAAGACAACTTTCATTTTACAATTAAGAAAAAAAATGATTGAATCGAATCAGAAATTCGTCCATAAATACCATAACATCTCAACTTGTGAAGAAGACCATCATGCCAATTGATTTCAGCCAGTTTGGGAAAGATCGTCTGCTTCCCTTCTTTAAAGGTTTCGAACCATACTTTACTTCCGTCGCATGCTCTCGCCATTTTTTAGCAGGTGATATCTTAATGTGATTTTCGTCACCATGTAACTTAATTTTGCTGGAAAGACAAAGTGTTTAAATTTCATTCGAAAATCAATTGAGATAAGAGCTATTTTTGTAATCTTTTGTCGAAAAATGAACAGAAATTGTCTCCTGATTTATATCTTATCAAATTATAAGTACATCAGCTCCAAAAAGAAGGATAATTCTGATCTTATTATAACTGATAAGAAGTATCCACTGTCTGTCTGAAAAATTCCCACAATGCACACATTGAGCGTAGGAACACATTAATAGTGGTCCTAAGACAGACCTGTGTATATACCCACATTCATATATATTTATTCTTTTATGTGCGGTGTCCACTCAGGATGTGGATAATCATGGTTCTCCACAACTTTCTATCCTTTGTAGCTCTTAAAAATGTTTGTTTTTATCTCTTCCAGTTTTTTCTATCACTACCATCCATTTATACAAGACCGTTCATTAGGTTAATTGATTTTTCCTCTGCCCCTCTTGATTCAATATGTCTTGTGTCTCTGAAGTTCTCCATGCCCTCTTTCCTCATTATGTTTATCCAAAGTTTCAACTGACTCTTTCTGATTTTAACCCCAAGGGTTCTGTTGGTTTCCATTTACCATAAAACTTGCCTTACGACCATATCACGTCGAGACACAGGTTCTCCTTCAATCACTGAAGTTAAGCCACATCGAGCCTGGTCAGTACCTTGATAGATGACAACTTGGGAATACCAGGTGCTGTAAGCTTAGATGTGCATGTAGTGTAATGGACAACGACTCGCAATTGGAAAACGGAGACCAGAGTTCTAATTCCAGTTGGGCTCGTTATATTCACGTATGCACAAATGCCGTTGGGAAAAGTATGAATCCACCTATTCTCCCGACAGCCATCAGTAAATCATTATTATCCCCAAAAGATTTATTATTATCTCCAAAAGATTTATTATTTATTATCTCCAAAAGATTTATATATATTATTATCTCCAAAAGATTTTTACAATATACAAACTTTCTACAAGTCTAAATAACATGCAAAAAAAGTTTGTAAGTCGTAAAAAGAAAATCAATCAAACAATTACCTTAAAACTTTCTCGTTGCTCTTATATTCCGTTCATGATATTCTCAGCATCCTTCTGTAGAATCCCATCTTTGTTGTCTCCTATATGAGGGAATTGTTCAGAATTAATTTTTATAGAGTAGTATCGATATTGCATAATTTTGTTTGTTTCTAAAGATATTTTCTTGTTTCTCATTACTTTATTTAAAATAGGAGAACATATATTCCCCTATCGCCCGGTTTCACACACCTTACAAGTTTTTGACCAAGAGTAGAGGTTTATATCTTGTTTCATTTTTAGGATAGAGTTTCCGGTTCCTTCTAATGTCTACTTCAACTCTATACTTCTCCGTCTTAATTCAGAATTTTCAATTACTATCTATTTTTCTCTCCTCAATAGGAATAGGTAGGTTTACCTACCCTCCAGTGCACACCCACACAGCAATCTTTTCAGCATGTCGGGTTACCTCCTTCTAATTTTCCAAACTGCTTCTAGGGGACGCTAAAGGGACTATAATACTCTGTAATATTTTTCTCATTTGCTTTTTATCCTTTTATTAGTCAACATGTAACTTGACGCGGAGAAGGCTCTGACATTTGGGAAACGCATGAAGAATACGTACACACACTATGTACGTACATATTCATTCACTACACGTACTTTTGGACCAAAACGGTTTTCACATTCTTTTGTTACACACGTTATTGTCTTTGTCGCTTTTATACATTTGTTGTTAATATATTATCATTTGTTTGTATATATATATATATATATCGGTTCTTGTCGTTTCTTTCCATTTCTTTACGTAAGACTCACATCCCGAGTCCGCTATTTTGGTGTGGGCATTTTCAGGAGATGTATTATTTTCAAACACCGACGTTTACTAACGTCCGAAACAAGTTGGGAAGCGCGTTAACCTGTTCGCAACAAACAAGCGTAGAGGTTTATCGCTTGTTTCCTGTTTAGGATTGGGTTTCCAGTTTTTTTTAAACCCCTTTTCATTGTATTTCACTTCCAGTAACCTCCTTGCGACTTCGTGGACTTATCGCCTACAATTGGGGTGAATTGGCTTAAAAAATATGGTTGAAGCTGTTTTTTTTTAATATTTGGGTAGATTGACACAAGGATACGATTTTACGTGCTAATGAGAATTAATTTTACATGAAACTTGAATGAAAATGAATTTTACATTATTGTTCATACCCTACAAAAGCGTTAGAACGACTCGATGTAGTAATGGCTTCATTAAGCATTACTTTTTAGCGGTAATCTTTATGAATGTCACGACCGTTCTGCTCGACACTAATTGTTTGACATTAACTCGGACATCTCGTCATGTGTAGGACGTCTGCTCATAGGAAGTTTCCGTAAAGTGGTCGTAAAATGGGTCGCACGCATTGTCGCACGAACTACGGTATTTGCTATTATTGTATTATTAATCCATGGGATTAAATAGTTTCTTCACTAATATTTTGTGGCAGTTTTCCTTGGAATATTATTAACAGAATTACAAGCTTACACGAGCAATGTAAAAATAGATAAATACTTACTAAGATTAGTTTAGTCTGGAATAGGTATTAAAAAGGGAAATGCAATTGGTAAGGAAGAGTTTGTTGCGCCAATATTTCCAGCGAAGGAAGTCGTTCTATTTGTTTTTATTTTAATGATTTCAAATCTTGGTTATTATTGACTGTTCGTAAAAAAAGATAAAGTCTTGGGAAAGTGAATGCTTATTTTCAAGGTTGTAAGCACATTTCTGATTAGAATATTTGAGTGACAAAATTATTCTACTGGAATTGTCTGCGGTTCATTTGTAATTTTAATAGCGAAAGCCTAAAGTCATAATCAATAAGAACTTATAATTCAGGCCATAGTAGCACAAAAAAGCAACCCCCCCACTGAAAAACAAGTTTCTGTAGAAAAAATAAGAAAAGAAAGAAAAATAAAGAACGCTAATATATTTCGAGTTTTTGCCAAATGTCAAGGTATGTCTTCTCCCCCAATGTTGGCAAAGGGTCCGAACGGGGAACCAAGATCCATCGCTCGAGCAAAAACAGAACTTGTAATTTTCAGTGTTTCTGTCCGCAGGGAAATGTTAGCCCGGAGGAAATATGTTATCGATTGGTTTGCTTACATGCAATCAAGCAAGAAGTTTATATCAAATATACCTCCAGCCAGGCATGTTATCTTTCTCGCATGCAAAGAAAGATGTCGGCATAACCATTTTCCTACACACATACGCGCACACGTACATGAATACATATATACATACGTACATTTACGCACACAACATAACTCAATCACACATTCATGTTCATTAACACACATTTCTCAATAAATAACAACGTGAATTCAATTAACGTTAAATTAATTAAGAATATACGTTGTAACAAACAGATGGTGCTTTTATTTCACCTGATCTTGGATTTTATAAAATTTCAAGGCCGGCATCTTGTTAGACAAAAGAAAACGAAATAAATTCTAATGAAACGGATGTGGAAATTCGTATAGATAAAGCCTGTGCCGCCTTGAATAGAATGGATGTAATCTGGGAATTTTTACCTCCCAGACAACCTCAAGCGGAGATCGTTTCGAGCCACTGTAGAGGTGGCTTGGACGTTAACTAAAACCCTTGAGTCTAAGCTTGATGGACCCGACACTCGGATCCTGAGAGCTATACTTAACATCTCTTGGAGACAACATCCCACTAAGCCACAGCTCTATGGATCCATCCCTGATATTTCTACAATTTTAAGCGAATGCAGAATGCGCTCTGCAGGAAACTGCCGGCGATTAAAACAAGAACTCGCTAATAATCTACTACACTGAACGCCTAGCCATGGCGCAAGACGGGCTGGTCGCCCAGCAACCATTGACTAATTGGATGTTATGACACAGAAAGCCACTCTAATGGCCTTTCAAATTTGATGCAGGAACCTGGTGGTTGGCGTGATAGACTCGTGAATATCCGAGCTATCCCAGCCGAATAATAATAATAAAGAGCCGTCACCCCATGAATTATTCAGATTCGTTTATTCGTCTTAATTAATTTACATTTAGAGCAGGGTTGGGCAAACTACGGCCCGCGAGCCACATGCGGCGCAGCAAAAGAATTCATGCGGCCCGCGAGCCACATGTGGCTCATCAAAAGAATTCATGCAGCCCGCGAGCCACATGTGGCTCAGAAAAGAATTCATGCGGCCCGCGAGTCACATGTGGCTCAGCAAAAGAATTCATGCGGCCCGCGAGTCACATGTGGCTCAGTAAAAAGAATTCATGCGGCCCGCGAGCCACATGTGGGTCAGCAAAAGAATTCATGCGGCCCGCGAGTCACATGTAACTCAGCAAAAGAATTCATGCCGCACCCGAGTCACATGTGGCTCAGCAAAAGAATATATGCGGCATGCGAGTCACATGTGGCTCAGTAAAAGAATTCATGCGGCTCCCGAGTCACATGTGGCTCAGTAAAAGAATTCATGCGGCTCGCGTGCCACATGTGGCTCAGCAAAAGAATTCATGCGGCCCGCGAACCACATGCGGCTCGCCAAAAGAATTCATGTGGCCCACCAAATGTTTGTAAATATGAAAGAGAACTTTACCAAGTAATGCCAAATAATTGTTACAAGTAATTTGGCGCCTAATTTTAAGAAACTGGTAAATGTCTGCAGTCAGATGAATCATTCTCATTGAGTCATTGAGATACTTCTGTTGCTGAGTTAATTTGTTTTTCAAATAACTGTGTTTCATGCGAAGTTACGACTTCAAAATATCAATCATTTTTTTCTTTAAACTAAATGACTTTGTTTTCAAACAAACTTGTTTCATGATAAGTTTCTACTTTTAAATCTAAATTAATTTTTCTTTAAATTTAGTTACTTTATGTATTTCTACTTTAAAATATTAGTAAGAATTGTTTTTTATTTCTTTACTGAGTTAATTTGTTTTTCAAATAAATATGTTTTCTATTTTATAATATTAATCAATAAAAATAATTTTTTTTTAAAACAAGGTGATTTTGTCTTTCAAATGTGCTTCATGTAAATCTTCAACTTAAAATTAAGTGATTCATCGAGTTTAGAAGAAACCTCAACAAAATACAGAAAGCACTGGGCAGCCGTTTCGTCCTATATTTGCGACTATCAGCAGTGCGCATCCAACACTGAGAATTGAAACCCGAGTAATTACATTATCAGTCAAACGTCATATCAACGGGCCACAGTGACGGAGACGTAGTGAATTAAACTGGATATAGCGCCGCTCGATCACATATTCCGTGGTGGAAGTTTCTCTTTTACCCATAGGACTGTGCCCACACGAGTCACTACTGCTACCACCAAACCGCTCCATCCAGAGGATTAGAAGCCGGTTCAAGCAAGGATATACACGTGATAGAAATTAGGAGGATTTGAGATAATTATAATTAATTCATCGAATCTAGTTAAAATACTTAATACTTTTTTTTACAGTACTTTAAACTGAGTTACTTTGTCTTTCAAATAAATGCGTTTCATATGAATCTTCTACTTACCTTAAAATATTAATTAATAAAAATTGCATTTTTTTCTTAAAAGGCCTTTTTTTCTATCAGGTTATCCCATAAGTTCTGTCCGAATTTTTAATAAAGAAAACAAGTGACCAAATGTTACATTTAATTACAGATTCAATCAACAATGTATTTTCCCTGATT